AAAAAAACAGCCAAGACTGTGACTTCTCCAGCTGCTCCTCCTCCAGATACCTGTGGCAGCGTTAGTGCTTTTGGAGGCGCTCGCTGTTTGAGAGGTGTTGGAGCTAAAAACGCAATTTGCGACTCGGGCTCACACTTCTCTCTCTCTCTCTCTCTCTGTCTCCCTCCCTCTCTCTGTCACAGTCTTCCTGCCACAACCTTTTCGTGATCACATTAGCTGCAGTCGCTCTGATCCAGAACAAGCGCCGAAAGAATCAGCGGTTGGTGATTCTGTCACTGCTGCCGACCAATAAGGTTAACCTTTCAGTGAAATATCAGGGCGAGATCAGGGCGAGATCAGGGCGAGTCCACGACCGGGAGTTTAAATAATAATGAGGCTGAAATTCTTTGTTTCCTTCTATGACTGAAGCTAAAACTTTTATTTGAAAAAAATATCCAGTGTAGAAAGTTGATATTTTTTGGCCAGTGAATTTGACGACAACATGAAACATTAAAACATAAGGAAAAACTTCAAGGATTTTTTTTCCTTTTTTCTATTTTGCCAAATGTTCATTTTTTCCATTTTGTAACTTTTATTTATTTACCTTTGTCTGTTTTTGTGATTTTTCTCTGAAACCATTAACTCTCCCTCGGCCGAGTTGAAGTTTTTTTTCCTCTTTCCTGTGTTCGATCAGCGGAGTTAAAAAAAAACACGCACACAAGACAATAGATGCAGAAAGTGACACCATGTGTTCCTGCAGTTGAACAATGTCAGCCAGTGTCACCGTGGTTTAAAGGGACACGCCACCATTTTAGTCTCCGGTCGAGTTGTGTCAATAAGACCTGAAGGATCAACCACTTCCTTTGTTTTGTATATTTTTTACAATTAAAAATTGAAAAAAAAAGAAAAACTTTATACCAGAACTTTTCTTACTCTTCGTGAAGGTTTTGATTCACTAACAAACAGCGTTGGTTCTTTTGAAACAGGACTTTTCTTACGTGACATTTCATGATATTCCAGGTTTAAAGGAACCCGACGTTTGACCGATGTGGCAAACGCACAAACACAAAATGTCGACTGAACGAACACAAAACCTGGAAGAACGGCTCCCTAATCATAAAGGATCAGGGATTTTCCTCTTTGTTTCCCCGGACGACGGAATTTCTCCCAGTTTCCACACCTGAACAATCCAAACAATCAAACACTTCGATGTCAGAGTTCAGAAAAAAAACAAAGAAACAAAACACTGCAACGGCTTCAACGTTTGAACGTCACTACAGCCGTAAAAAACACTTAGCTCACAACAATCACAACAACAACCACAACAATCACAACAATCGCAACAACCACAACAATCACAACAACCATCACAACAACCACAACGGCCACCACAACCACA